AGCCATGGAATGTAGCCCCTATTCCTTTGGGCTATATCCAAGTCAAAAGGGTGCGGAGACTGTTATCTTTGTCAAGCAGGGAATTCATAGAGAGAAGTGTGTGGGATGGAATGTCAGTGGCCATAATTTCCAATTCCATGCAACATGAGGTAGAGAATCATTTTTAAAAATCAGCAAGGTGCTTGAGTATCTTACCATCATGGTTTGAAATTGCTTGATATGAACAGAAAGGAATTCCTTTAAAGTTTTTTTCTTGAGATTGTTTCTCTCATCTAAGTAGAGAAGTAGCCAACATACTCCAATATCTTCTACTAAATTCACTGAAGTTCAATGAGCACACTGTCCAAGTCCTATGAGGTAAGCCAACTTTTTTTTTTTTTTTTTTACCTATCACATAGCCCAGCCACCTTCCCAGTAGAGAAAAAGAAAAATCCTCATTGCTTCCCCCATGCCCCAACTCATTGTATCAGTTAGGTATGCTCTCACTACCAGTAAAAAAAAAAAAATTTACCACGGCTTAAACAAATAGGGATTTATTTATCTCACATTATAAGAAGCACTGAGATAAGTAGATATGTGGCTTCAGTGTTGCCTTCAAGCATACAGATTCTTCTATCTTTTCTATCATCCTTAGCATGTTGGCTTATCACATTGTAGTGGGTTGAATGGTGCCCCACCCCCCGCAAAAAAATATATCCATATCCTAACCGCTGGAACCTATAAATCTGACCTTATTTGGAAAAAGAGTCTTTGCAGATATAATTAAGGACCTTGAAATGAGATCACCCTAGATCATCTGAGTTGGCCATAAGTGTAATGACAAATGTTCTTATAAGAGGCAGGAAAGAAGGCATAGGTCCACAGAAGGCATGGACACACATGTGACGATGGAGACAGACAGAGGAGTTATGTAGCCACAGGCCAAGGAGCTTCTGGAACTTCCAGGAGCTGCAGGAGGCAAGGTAGGGGTCTCCCTTAAAGACTTCGGAGGGAGTGCAGTCTTGCTGACACCTTCATTTTGAACTTCTGGCCTCCAGAACTATGAGAGAGTAAGCTTTTGTTGTTTTAAGCCACCATATTTGTGGTCATTTGTTTCCAAATTGGCTGCTATCCCTCCAAGTATCATGTCAGAGTTGCTGGTAACCATTTCTATCCCTTTTGTCAGGAAAACAAAAGATCTTCCAGAAATCTGAATAGCCAAATGTGGTAGGCAGAATTTTGGCTCCCATAACCTTTGTCCTCTGGTGTTACTCCTATAATTATGGCAAGAACAGCTTTGCAGATGTAATTAAGGTTACTAATCAACTGACCTTAAGATAGAGACATTACGAGTGTGAGCTCTGAGCAACAGCGGTTTGAGTACTGGCCTGAGCTGAGCTGCTGCTGAGTTGCCAACAGGTGGCAGGATGGCTCAGATAAAAAAAAAAAAGAAAAAGATAGAGATATTATCCTGTATTATCTGGGTGGGCCCAATGTGATCACCTGTGCCCTTCAGAGAAGAAAAGAGGAAAAAAGAGGAAGTCAGAGTTGAAACACAAGAAGAATTCAAAGTACTGCTGTTGGCTTAAAGATGGAGTGGGCTACAGGTAAAATGTGAAAAGGAAATGAATTCTGTCAAAAAAGCACCTGAGTCCCAGGTGAGAACTGCAGCCCGTCGATGTTTTGATTTTAGCCCACTGTAACCCTGAACAGAGCATCCAGACCTGCTGGACTGGGCTTCTAACCTATGGAACACAGAAAATAAATACGTGTTCGCTTGACCTGCCAAGCTTGTGGAATTTGTTAAGCAATAGAAAGTGACAACAAACTGTGGACCTGGTGTCTCCACATGCCCACTTCTTAAATATTTAAAACTTTAAAAAATTCTTAAATTCCTTAACACTTGAAAAATAGTAAGTATTTATCTTTCCTGGCTCCTGCAGTGGAGGAGGCAAAGGAGAAGGCGTTGGGGATGGCTGTCATTAGCCAAGCATCTGTGTGCGTCACGCTGCCCACTTGGCTAATTCCACCGTTTATGGCTTTTCACTTACAAGTTGCTGCTTCCCAGCACTGATTTCTATATTGGTGATGACTCTTTTAGTTGTTAGTGACAGCTCAGGCAAAAAGGGAAATGCACTGACTCGTCAACCTAAAGAAAGGCAGAAATGGAGCTGCTTTTGGCGGTGACTAGAACCCCTCCCTGGAATTTTAGAGTAAGAATAGTGATAACTAACACTTATTGAGTACTTACTAGGTGCCGGCTGAGTGCTTTCTATGTATGTATTATTTCATGTCATTGTCACAGTAACCCTATGAGGGACTTGCTAATATCGACTCCATTTTGCAGATGAGGAAACTGAGTCATAAAGAGCTTAAGTGACTTCCTTCATGAGCTGGAGCCCTTGGGTGAAACAATGCTCCCTAGGAGCCTAATTCTACCTCTGAGCAGGGCTCCTCTGCATCTTTCTGCCATAGGGAAGGGCTTCAGGAGAAATCAAAAGAACGAGTGTACAGAGGACATGGAAGAGGAAGACGATGACAGTGAAGAGTGTGATAAAGCTAAGGAAAAGACAAAAGAGCAGAAGGCGGAGGAAAGGGGGAAGGAGAAGGAGAAGGAGGAAAGGAAGCAAGAGCAAGAAAACAAGGAGGATGAGACGGAGAGCCAGGAGCCAAGGCCCGCCTCCGGGACCCAGTCTCCACCCCCTCCCTACCTCAGCTTACTCTCAGGTGCCGACCCAGACCTAGGTCCTCAGCTCCTGGAGGCAGCTGCAGGTGGTAAGAACTGGTCCCCACCCACCATGTTCCCCTTCTTTCCTCCCCCCCTCTATGGCCCCACAAGCCTCTCACACCCAGTTTGACCTCAGCCTAGTTACTAGCTGTTGAAGAGCCCTGAGGGAACCCTGCTATCAACCAGAGGGGAGCTCATGAGAGTCAGATTTTGTGCACCAGGGTGGGACGTGGGGGTGCCTCGATGCTGGCATGGTGAGTAGGGTGTCCTTGCCTCCCCCTCACAGACCTGCCCGTGCTACTGACCAACATGGAGCTGGGCCTGGGGTGCCAAGAACTGCAATGGCTACTGCAGCGAGAGCAGCTGAGCAAACCCCAGGTGCAGCCTGGCTTCTGTCTCTATCTGAGCACTACCCTCCCCCTCGGTGCCTTGGGAAAAGGTAAGGCTCATTGGTAAGTTGCTCACACAGCTGTGCGGACATGCTAGGTCCCCAGCTTCATTCAGTCTGGTCCAGAGCAGGCTCAAGAATATAGCAGGGGGCCACTCCCTGTGCACCCCACTCCCTGGCTCTGCCAAGGGGAAGGGGTTGAGTGTCTCCCATGTGACCCCAAGTATTAGGTTGCGAACTGCTGAAGGGGCTGAATGTGCTGGATCTGGGCCTGAACATGGACGTCCTAGAAGAACAGATGTTGCATGAAATCTTGTGCATAGAGTGTCCCAAACTCGAGAGCCGCTGGCAGGACCTCAAGATGAGATCCCTGGATGCCTGCAAAGCTGTGGAGGCTGTTGAGGTGCTCGGGGGCCACTCTATGGGTGGGACGGGCCCAGGTATGGGGGTGGAGATGAGTGGGGATGGCAGGGGACTGTGTGGTAAAGGGCCAGATCCATGCAACAAGTGACTGTATACAGGAGCGACTGCTGACGATGCTACTGTTCCAGAACCCAAATCATCAGAAACCAGCCAAGTTCCTACGGGACACAGTGAGGACCCAGGCACAGCTATGTCAGCTGCGTGTCCATTGCGAGGAGCTAGAAGAACTGAGGCTGCAGGAGGTGGTACAGTGGGCACCCTATCGACACGTGGTCCGGCATGGAATGGCCATTATCAAGACCCTTAGCCCACTGCAGAACCTGCTGCCACCTTTCTGTATGAGCCCAGAGAATTGGCTGGCAGCCACCAAGCAGGCACTGAACAGCATAAAGCGGTGTGAGAATCATCAGGGGGTGGACCTGCCCAGCCATCTGCTACAGCTAAGAATACAGCTGACCCGCCAACTGCTGGGCAGCACCGTGGCTGCACTGGGCCTGACCCATGTACCCTTAGTGGGTGCCTTGGGTGCTCTGGCTCTGCTGCGAGTATCAAAGAAGGCATCAGATCTGGAGAGGCTGGCACTTTGGCCTGGACTGGCAGCTTCTCCTAGCACAGGCTATAGCAAGCCAGTCCCAGGTGTGGCTCGGCCGCCCTGGCTAGGGCTGAGAGCCTGGCACGAATGTGGAATGTTAGAGCTGCTGCCCCCATTTGCTGGGCTGCGTGCATCCCTGGCAGGCCATTCCAGGGTTTGGCAGGCTTACCTGTCACTGTCATCCACAGTGCTGGGGCCTGCACCTGGGCCTGGGTCTGATCCACTCAGCCTCCTCCAGAAGCTGATCCTGTGGCGTGTGCTGAGACCTGAGTGCCTGGCAGCGGCCCTGGCAGACTTTACCACCAGCCTCCTGGGCCGGCCCCTGGATGAAAACCTGAGTGCCTTCACCATACCCGTCGAACACAGTCAGGCTACTCAGCCCCTACTGATCTTGTTGCCACCACCTGGTCACCCCACAGCCATCTTGCATCCCCTGACTGTCATCCAGGAACTGGCTGCCAAACACGAGCAGGTTTGAGCCAAGCCTCTTGGCCACAGAGTGAGCAGGCTCCTACGGGCTGGGGTGGGGTGTTTGTGTGTGGGGGTGCCCTCCTCGCATTCTCATGGATCTTTCTGGATTACTCAGACTTTGGGGGTTATTGTGGCATTACTCGGGGTCCCTTGAGTCACTTTAGGATCACTTTGAGTTTTTCTGACATCTCTCTGTTGGTTCCCAGGGGCAGAAGCATTTGGAGGTGATAGCCCTGGGCTCTGAGGCCTGGGACCCGGTCTCAGTGGTGGTCAGCACTCTATGCCAGGCTATGCACAAAGGGCACTGGCTGGTGCTGGAGAATTGTCACCTGATGCCTAACTGGCCGAAAGAGCTGCTACAGCCCTTGCTGGGGCTGTTGGACGGAGCCACGGGTGTGTTTGCTCCCTAGAGATCATTTCTAGGACCCTTTCCTACACTTGGGCCTGAGCTCGCACTCAGGCCTCATGGCCAATCCCCTAGTTCCAAGCCTGTCCCCTGAATCTGACTCCTAACACCCTAACCTCAAGTCTGATCCCTAAACTTGTATCTGACCCTCTACCCAGAGATTGATCTCAGCCCCATGTCTGACCCCTAGTGGTCTCGGACCTGGAGTTAGAACTGCTTTTAGCTCAACCTACAAGCAGGAATGTGGTCCACAGAGATTTCCGTCTTTGGCTTATTGTGTCTACAGAGGCTATTGCTTCCTTACCAGGTGAGGAGCTTCCTCCTATAGGCTTTCAGATTGGAGTGGGGAGGGCAACTGTGCTGTGTTGACTTAGCACTTTCCTTCCTCTGCAGCTATACTAACTCAGCACTCCATGCCTATTTCCTGGGAGCCGTCCCTGGACCTGGGCCACGTCTTGGTCAACAGCATAGAGCTAGCCCAACAAGCACCGTATGTGCAACCCCCTACCAAGGCGCTGCCTCTGCTCCTCCTACATGGCCTCCTGCTACACCGGCAGCTCTACGGGCTGAAGCTGCAGGCACACAGGGGGCGCTGGTGAGGGGCCCACCCATCCTGCTGTCAGTCACTTAGCAATCACTGAGCGTTTTCCACATGCTGGGATTCATCTCTGGGGACAGCCAACACGTGAGGACAGAGGGAAGCCAAGGAAATAACTCACTTTGAATTGAGTTTTGAAAACAGAGGCAGATCAGGTGGAGATGGGGCCAGAAAGGGCAGAGGGAATTGAGCTCAGCAGGAGGGAGACTTCAGTGTGGCTGCGGTGGACATGCTGGGGTGGGAGAGGTGAGGCTTGAGTGGGAGAGGTGAGGGTTGTGCTACATGCAAAGCCTTTAAGACCACTGCAAGGGGCCTGATTTTATCCTGAGGAAGTGGGAAGCCACTGAAGGGTTTTAAGTAGGAGAAAAAAAATTGATCCTACTTGTCTGTTGGAAAGATCACTCTGGCTTCAGTGTGGAGAATGGACCAGACGGGGCTGGGCTGGAGGCAAGCAGGCAGTTTTAGGAGGCTTGGAAGTCTCAATGGACGAGATCATGGTGATGGGGACTAGGGTGGTCACAGCAGGGATGGAGAGTAAATCTAGGATGAGGAAGAGGAAGCGTCATGGATGGCTCCCAGATTTCTGCCTTGGACAACTGGGTGGCTGGTATGGAGGGAAATGATGATTTTCATTGAAAGCAAGCTGTATTTTGAGGTGCCAAGTGGCAATAATTAGTGAGCCTTCATGTGTCTGGAGCTCAGGAGAAGTTTGAGCTGGAGAGAAAGATGTGAGTCCTTAGCATTTGGATGGTTTAGAAACCCTACTTTCTGTTTTCTTTCTCCAGGAATCAAGTGACTCTAACCCAAGCCCTTCAGATCCAAGACCAGCTGTGGACCAGCCTTAGCAATCCCAGTGCTGCCATGCAGGAGCTGGCCGGTGAGACCCGTCCTTTCTGCCAAGTAGTCATCAGCCCCTAGGAGAGCCCAGAAAGGGGTGGGGGTGGGGGTACCAAGATGGGGACATCATCCACAACTCTGCTTTGGGAAGTGGTGGAAACTGGAGGGGTTGGAACTGAAGGGCTCTGACCTCATCTTCAGCTTCGGTTTTCTATGGGGGTCCTGTGAGAGACGACAAGGACAGAGAGGCCCTGATTAGCCTCACACAAGCCTGCCTGGGCTCCAGCAGGGGGAGCTGGGACAAACCACACACCCCCCAGTATCTGCTGGCCACTCTGATGCCCAGCCCAGGTAAGCTCCAGTCAGGTATCTGTGTTGGGGTGGAGAACAGCACAGTATAGTGCCACTCTCCCAAGAATGTGAACAGCAGTGACCATAAAAGGGTAAGAGGGGGAAATATTCACACAGTTATGGGGTGATGGCTTAGTGTCAGAGGAAGGCCTACTCCCTTGGGTCTGGGGTGGGGGAGAGTTCATCTTGTCTCTCATCCATCACCTCCACCTCCAAGAGCTAGAGGAGCTGGATGCTATGGCAGAGTGCAAGGCCCAGATGTACCTATTGCCCACACCACCTGAACCCCAGATCTGCGGACTGAGTGCTGGCCCCCAGGCTTGGCTGTTACGACGCCAGAGTCGTGCTTTCCTGAGTGCACTGCAGCGGAGTTCACCCACTTGGGTGCCTGCGCCTCCGGGAGGCTCCCGGCGCACCGAAAGGCGGCTGCGGCAACGCCTGGTGCTAGCCAAGCGGAGGCTGGAGTCGTTACAGGCTCTGCTGACCAAGACCATTCACCAAAACGAGCCTGGCACCGGGTGGGTGGTGCAGGGGCTGAATGCGGAGCAGCCTCTGGAGGGCATCCTCCAGATGGAGGTGCTGGAACTGAGCCAGCTGGTGAGCACGCTGCAGCGGGACCTTGATTGCCTGTTGCAGCAGCTGAAGGGCGCGACGCCATGTGCCTCCCAACGCTGTGCCGCCGTGGCCCAGGCTCTCTGGAATGGACGTCTACCCCCGCCTTGGCGACCTCACACGCCTGCCGGGCTGCAACCGCCCTGGCACTGGCTGCGACAGCTGTCGCGCAGTGGGCAACTATTGGTTCGCTACCTGGGCGTGGGATCCGAAGTACCGAAACGCATCTTTCACCTATCAGCCTTTCGCCACCCACGCCGCCTGCTGCTTTCACTGCGCTGGGAAGCTGCCTCTGCTATGGACCAGTATGTGCCCAACTCAAATTTGCCTGGTTGCCAAAGCTCCAGCTCCAATCAGCTCCCCCATAGACGTCAGGGGCTGAACATCAACCCTCTGCACATCCAGGTAACTTCGGGCTGCCCCTTCGTTTCCAATTCCGTCCCCTCAACGTACCTTGCGTCTTCGTGATCTTGCGACCTCGGTAACCCCATCTGCTTCTCTGATCCCGCTCCACCATGACCCCTCAGCTTTCTAACCTTGCCTGACCAACTTCTGGCGCCCCCAGGTGGTGAACGGCCCAAAGCCCACGGTTCCAGAGATGGGGCTGCTGCTGATTGGGCTGCAGCTCTGGAACGCCGAGTGGGACCCGCTAGCAGGGGCCTTGCAGGACAGTCCCTCCAGCCGGCCCAGCCCTCTGCCTCCCGTCAGCGTCAGCACCCAGGCCCGGGGCACCAATGACCTGCCACCCCATGCCGGCCTGGCTGTGTATTCCTGTCCTGTGTACATGGAAGGTCCCCTTGGCACCACTAGGCTGCACAGCAGGAACATCCTAATGCACCTGCCCCTGCCCACGAAGCTCAGCCCCGACATCTGTGTCCAACGGAGAGTCCATGTGTGCAGCCCACCCCTGCCCTGAGCGCTCAACCAAAATAAAGTTGGAGTGATTTGATGAAAGCGTCTGAGACTTAGGAGTATAGGGTGTGTGCGCACAGAGGAGAGAGGAGGTGTGTTCACACTGAAGGGAGAAGAGGGTGTGTGCCTGGCAACTGGGGGGAGGGGAGTGTGGGGACTGGGGAGATGGGCCTGGTATTGGTCATGCATCCAAGGCGCTAGGCAGATCTGGGGATGGCTAACACGCAGCATCCCGAATCCTTGCCCAGCTCTCTACTGTGATCTCAGCACTTGTGCTAAATCCACAAGGGATATTTATAAAGGGATAACATTAGAACTCAAAACGATTTTCTTAAGGCACTTAGTGGTATTATTGGGAATGCCCCAATCCTGCCCTACCAGTCATCCGTCCTCCTAAAATGGGTTCTCTGAGTGAGCCATACACACACACACACACACACAGCAAAATAAGATACAAGGTCCTATGTTCATTCAAAAATTATTCATTGAGCATTCCTCTGAACCAGGTGCTGTTCCAGGCACTGATGAGGTTGTTCTAATGCAGGGACACAGAAAGGTCAACATATAAATAAGTTAAATTGATGATTTCTAAGTGCTATAAAGAAAATAAAGTAGGCTGATGTGTTAGAGAGTGACTAGAGGGGAGCAGTTAATATAGTCTGGGTGGTCAAGGACACCCTAGGAGGAGTGTTTCCAGTAGTGTTCAGTAGGTGCTAAGGTCTTGAGGCAGAACAACCGTGAGGTGTTCAAGGAACAGGACGTGTAGCTGGAGCACGGTGAGGGAGGGACAGAGGGAGCCAAGAGGATGGAAAGATGCAGGGGCAGATCACACAGAGCCTTTTCATGCAATGAGCCTGTTATTTCTGAAAGCATAAGGAGGAACCTAATGGAGAGTATTGGGTGGGAGACGACATGATCTAATTTGCATTTTTCAGAGATAACTCTGGTTGTTCTACGGTGGGTGGGTGGGACAAAGTCCAGAGTAACAAGAAGGAAGATTTGTTTGGAGGCTACTGAAGTAATTCAATTGAGAGATGATGGATTCTGGACAGCGTCATAACAGTGGAGATGGAGAATGAACGGATTTAGGAAATATTCTGGAGGCAAAGCCAGCAGGACTTGCTGATGGAGCAAGGAAAGAGGACAAATCTAGGATGACTCCTAGATTTTAGGTGTGAGCAACTTGTATAGATCATGGTGTCACTGAGATGGGCAATCTGAGGGAGAGACAGGCTGGGGGTTGGGAATTGAGTTCTGCTTTGATATGTTGAGTTACTACTAGTTGCATAATTGCATGCTATCCCAGGGCAAACCTCTCTGATAAAAGTCAGGCTAGGGTATAGCAGAGCTAAAGGCCTACATGGGCTTCCTCTCCCTGCCCCCAAGCACCAAAACTTACCAGGAAGACTTATGTCCCTCACTGTCTGGCTAGGTACGAACTACATGGTGGGAAGAAATGCTGACAAAGTATATACTGAGTGTCAGTGCACAACCTCTTCACACACTCACTAGTGACTGTGGTGCAACTGATGCCTTTTAACAAAAGGCCAAGCAGAGAGGCAAAAGTTTCCACTTTCCTCAGAAACCATTCCCTTTTTTTCCCTGTGGTCAATCAGGCACATGGCTGTTCCTTTAGGGAGATTAGCAGTATACTGAAGAAGGCCTTTTGGATAAGTGAACCCTCTATCCATGTTTACCATCACTACTATTTATCCCCCAGTGGGAGCTGGGAGTGATAGTGAGATACCTATAAAACCATCTGAAATTGGTTGGTACAGAATATTTTCTCCAAATCCACACCATTTTCTAAACTGAAATTTCTTGAATTATGCCAGCCCAGCTATTAAACTGAGTCACTTAGAAATTATGAAATAAGTACCATATGACAGCATAACCCAAATACAATGATTTCCATGTAAAAATGTGCCAGGTTTGACAATTTCACTATTAAAATTCTCTATCAGATAAATTAAAATACTGTTAAGAAATTAAAAGTTCCAAACAATGAAAGGAAGGAAGAAGTAAGACACATGACAAAGGGGAGATTTCCTGTCCTGTCCCAATGGACAGGGGTAAAAGAAGTAGAGACAGGAGAGGGGGGAGTAGGACAAAAGTCATCCTGACCTGGGACTTTGGGACGGAGCAGTACACTGACATACCAAGGGCAAAGAGCTTTTGCCCTTTGTCCTCCCGGGACTTTAGAAGGGAACTGCTTTGCAGCATGGACTTACCATGGCTCCAGGAGCATTACAAGGGCAGAGTGGCATGGTCAGCAAGAGGTGTCTCTTGATTCCTGCATGGTGTGGATACTGAGTAGAGGCTCTTTAGGCTCAGTGGAGTATGAGGCAGAAAATCACTGTGGTCTACAGCATCAAACAGAGTTGTTGAGAGGATGCCAAGTTGGCAGGAGGGACACAGGCCCTGACAGCTGAAAAAGGCAAGACGATGGATTCATCAGCTTTAGAAGCAAATGTTGGCAGAATGCCCAGGTATGGAACTAGGCCAACCATCCTCAGAATATTCCAGCTTGTGCACACCCAAGAGCCAGTAGTAGGCCAGAGGACCCCTTCCTTCTGATATCAAAATGCCACATAAGCCCTCCCCTCTATAGCCAGATGTCACTTTGGAGAGAAACAGAGGTAGAATGGGAGGAATTTGAATATCTGAGCATTTATTTTAAAAAGAATAAATGAAACTTTAAGAGACTGAATTAATTTCTGGCCTCTTCCACTATTCAGTGGAGTGCAGGATAAGACTTGTGAGGAAAATCAGATCAGTAATTGAGAAAGGAGCTAAATTTTATTTGCATATGCAAATTTGTGAGGAAATTTGTGATCTGGCTTTGTACACTACATGCACTAAAAATCCAAAGATCAAAAATCTCATTAACTAGCTCTCTGAAGCTCACTTGAAACTCATTTGTTTTTGCAGCTTTTTAGTCTAATTTGAAATTCTCATTCAGAAATAGGATAAATAGAAGAAATGTCTGAAACAGGAAAAAAAGAGCTATTTTAATTCACGAATGCCTAAGAAGCCCTGGTATCAATAAGATAGGTACGATTATTATTCCATTTTGCAGATGAGGAAACTGAGACAAAGAGTCAGTAAATTATCCAAAGTCACAGAGTCAGAAAATAGTAGAGCCAGTTTTTGAATCTAGGCATTTGACTCCACAAGCCATTCTCTACACAGCATTCTATTACCTCTACCATACCAAATGTTGGGGAAACAGTGGAAAACAAGGATCTTCATGCACTGTTGGGTGGGTATTCTGGACTAGTTATTCTGAGGACACTCTGGCAGCACTCGGTGAAATTAATTCAACACACACAATTCTGCTCCCAGGTTTATGTCTCAGAGTCACACACAAAATGAGTTGGGAAGTGTTCACTCCTACTCTACTTTCTAGAAGAGTTTTGTGTATGATTGATATTCTTTCTTTCTTCAGTGGTTGATAGAATTTGCCAGTAAAGCCATCTGGGCCTGGAGGGGTTTTTTTTTGTTTTTTGGGGGGTGGGGGGTTTAATTACAAATTCAATTTCTTTAGTAGATATAAGGTTATCAGGGTTTTTTTACTCTTGCATTTTGAGAATTCTCTATTATTGTATTTACTAGTCCTTTGTCAGATATGTAGTTTGCAAATATTGTCTCCAAGTCTGTAGGTTCCTCTTAACAGGGTCTTTTAGAGCAAAGGCTTTTAATTTTGAAGTCCAATTTATTCAAGTTTCCTTTTATGGATCATGCTTGTGATGTCAAGTTTAAAACTCTTTGCCTAATGCTAGATACCAAATAGATATCAAAGACTTGCTCCTATGATTCTTTTCTAAAGGTTTTATAGTTTTATATTTTCCATTTAAGTCCATGATCCATTTTGTGTTAATTTTTGTATAAGGTGTGAGGCTGGGTGAAGTTTCTTTTTTTCCAGAGGATGTGCAAGTTCTCCAGCTCCATTTGTTGAAAAGGTTATCATTCCCCCATCAAATTGCTTTTGCAGCTTTGTCAAAAAATCAATTGGGCTTATTTGTGTGGGTCTATTTCTGTGTTCTGTACTCTGTTCTACTGAGTTGTGCATCTATCCCTCTCTCCACCAATGCCTCCAAGTCTTGATTACTGTAGCTATATAGTAAGACTTGACATTGGGTAGACTGATTTCTCCTACTTTATTCTTCTTTTTCAAAAGTGTTTTAGCTCTTCTAGTTCCTTTGTCTATCCATACAAATTTTAGAATAATCTTATCTATGTCTACAAAAATTATGCTGGGATTTTGATAGGAACTGTGTTAAACCTCTGTACCTGTGTGGGGACAACTGACATCATTACTATGTTTAGTTTTGCAAGCTATGAACATGGTATGGTCTCCATTTACTTAGATCTTTGATTTCTTTCATCAGTGTTGTATAGTTTGCAGCATAGAAGTCCTATAAATATGTTAGGTTTACAGCTAAGTCATTTCTTTTTGAGCAAGTGTCAACAATATTTTTAATTTCAGTGTCTACATGTTCTAGTGTACAGAAATACAATTAATTTTTTAATGTTTACCTTGTATCTTGCAACCCTGCTGAACTCATTTATTCTAGGAATTTTTTGTTGATTCCTTTGATTTTTGTTTGTTTTCTTTTTCTGCCTTCCTATGGGTTAACTGAATACTTTTTAGAATTTCATTTCGAGTTATCTATAGTGTTTTGGAGCTTATATCTTTGTATAGCTTTCTAGTGGTTAAATAACTATATATATATATATATATATATATATATATTTAATATTCTTTTTATTTGTATATTTTAATTTGGAAATGTTGATATCAGTACAGTGGAACTAAATTTTAAGAGTCACTGGATGTCATTACTTTGGAATATCTTTAGTTTATTACAAAAGAGAGACATGGAAATTATTTACATGATGAGATTTCACAACTTCAGTGGAATGGGCAGCTTCACGTGATGCCATGTCAATAGTGATTTATTTCAGTCTACATACTTTCCAAGAACGTCACCATCTCTAAAGAAGAAATAATCCTTGTCGTCTAGAACTACTTTGGTGTCTCCATATTCTGGAAGAACTTTATCTCCACGTTTCACGCTAACTGGTTGAATCTCTCCGCCCTTTCCTTTAGAGTTGGATTCAACAGCTACTACTGTTGCTTAC